TCAAATACAGATTTGGTGCTGCACGCACAGTTAAAGGGCTCCACAGCGCTTTCTGCCAGAGTGGTGGTGCAGAGGTAGCCCCTTTTCCCATCAATGTTTTATGTAACCATTTTTTTAAAAATCGATACTAAGAAGTGAAAGATTGATATTATATTGGGCAGCCGAATATCACGATATATTGCCAAAACGATTATTTCCCACACCCCTATTGTTCAGTTTTTTTAAGTCATTTGCTCTGATGCTGTTACCCCAGCGAATGAAGACAGAAGAGATCACACTCTCCACAGCAGATAGAAGATATGCTGCATCTATCTGTAAACACTGAAGGACCTAAGCTTCCTTTGGAAGTACAATCTGCTCTGCCCCTTCTTCTAGACAGACTTTTTCTGAAAACTTAACTTTGCAGGGCAGTGTTCTCTCCATTATTTTCCCATTTTACTGTCATGTCCCAGAAGGATCCATCTATGTTTTTGTTTCATAGTCTTTTCCTTGGAAGGTGATCTTATCTAGCAATCTAAAATGTATGTGTTCGATTGCCTATAGCAACGCACATACAGCTAGTAAATGCTGAGCTGCTTACAGATCTGTGTGAGTTTTTGTGAGAATGATAAACGTTTGGTCTGAATCGCTTTGATTTTTAGGTATGACTAGGAAAGCTAGTCTATCTTTTTGTTTATGCATCTTGAATATTGTCGTCTTGGTCATCGGAAATTAAATATTTTGGTTCTGAGCAGAAGCTTAAGTCTTGCTATGTGTGTCAGATAACCTTAGGTTTAAAAAAAGGAGAACCAAGTTAGCTGGTGCTTTAAACAGCTTTAACAAACTATGTTAGTTATTAGAAGAAATTGCATTGTTTAATACAAAACCATGGTCTCTGTATTCTTTAAAGCTGTTTCCCCCTGATGTTTAAGCCTCAGGGCTTCAAAGTAACAGTATAAAAAGTTGTGACCTTAATTATATGCTAAGTGAAGCATTACCACTGAGTTAATCAACAGAGCTATAATGTAGGGCTGCAACTAACGATTATCTTGCTGGTTGATTAAACTGTTGATTATTTCTTTTGATTGATTGATTAATAATCAGAGATAAAAAGGCTCCTTAAAGAAGAAAAAGAATTAAACCTAAATTCTCATATATATAATTATTACATTTTCAAACATGCTCATTAAACCTGAAACAGCTAACTTTGAGATTTCTCACCAAATATGGTTTTTGATATCCTAGCCTCTTAGCACAGTCATCATTTTGTGCCATTTCTTTCCTTTTACAGCAAAGTTAAGAAGAAAAATCCCCTTATAAGAAAAGAAATGTATGAAACCTGATACACATTAAACCCAGTGTTGTTTGTGACCCCTGTTTTTTGCTCAAATACACCACATATCTTATCTTGATCTTTAAGCTATTGATGCTGTTAAAACTAAGAAAAATGCGAAAGTCCTCAGGGATCATCATCATCACAGTCAGGCTGTATGACTTATTTAGGACTTCTGTGTAAAGCTGAAAGAATAAAATGGATGTAAGATTTGATAGAAAGTTTTACTGGGTGTGAGATGTCCTTACTTTTTTATATAGGTCACTAAATGTTCAGAAATTCATGATAGAAATCACACAGACAGCCAAAAGGTTTAACAAGAATATAGAAAATATAACTTCAACTGCTGACTGTTTTATTATACATAGTTTTGTAGGTTATTATATTCAAATGTAAAAAATGATCTTTTTATAGTTCTGTAAAAATATTTTAACAGATCAGCAGGTCTTATTTGGCTCGAGGATTTAATCTCCCCTCCTTGAGTTCGTTATGGGATGTTGTGTTTGTGAACCAAGAGGATATTACTGTTCAAAGTGTCAGTTATATAAGTTAGCATTAATTAATTTTGGCTTTAAAGTCCTTCTGAACACACAGAGCCTCAGTGTCCAAGGCAGCATTCTGATTCCCACACACAGTCATCTGAGTGAAGGTCAGGACAGAGGTTGAGAAACTGAAGTCAGAATATCATAACAAAATCTATTACCTTTTTGCTCAAAGTCATTTACTTTATCTTGTTTTCCTATCATCAAAGAGTGCTAAATGTTGTTTTTTTTTTTTAGTAATCTAAAGATGAGGTAGTATCCATTTATCAGCTGTCTAATTATGAACTTTTCGGTGTGATGGCTGACCAGCAGGAATAAAAAAACAGAATTAAATTATCAGCTTTTATGTTGATACTAGATTAATCACTGTTCTTCTCTATGAGGGCAACAGTGGTGTTGGATGAAGGAGGTTGCCCTGCAGCTAGAGGGTTGTTGGTTCAAGCACTGGCTTCTGTGTTGTGTGTCATTGGGCACAAGGCCCGCATTTCCTACTGATGGTGGTCAGTGAGCCCCATGACGTAGCTTGGCACCATCAGTGTGTGAGTGTGTGAATGACTGAATGTAGCCTGAAGCGCTCTGGTCAAGTCTATTGACTTGAAAAAGTTCTACATAGGTGCAGGCCACTTACCATGGTATTAGCTAGATTTCTACATTCTGTAAAGATTTAAATTGAGAATTAGATGGAGGCTCTTCATATGAAAACACTGCATCATTTTTCTTCTTACATGCAAAATTTTGAAGAGTTCACTAATAGTTTTCAAATGGACTTTCTTTGAAGATATTTTATAAATCCTTGTTTTGGCATTGATAATCATTATTATTGTTGCATTATTTATGATTTATTTAAATGTAGCTGTGTGTGTGTTTGTGTGCTGATTGCCTGTTTCCTTTCTGAAAGCTTTCCACTTCTCTGCTCCAGAGAAACCAGCATCTTATTTAAGCTGTCTGACCCTGAGGGCTCTGCTTTCTATACCGCATGCCCCTCCAACTTCATGTTTTCGCCCAACCACCTCTGGCAACGTTTTTTGGGGAACCAGCTACTCTATTTTGTAATGAGTGAAGTGATTTCTTTCTGTGGTCGTAGTTTCTCTGTTGTATTTAGGGCATTATTGAAGACTGACCTCATTCAATCAGCCGTGAATTATATGTCTAAATTATATGTACCGGTAATACATGAACATTGACTTCCAGGAAAAAAGTAGGGATTATTTGTTAATACTTTATCTTTCATTTAATATGGTGCCAATATTCCGCTTTAGAGACTTTCTCTCTTACTCATTGTGTTTGCTTTCTTCATCATCCGTTCCCCTCTTTCCTCCGCTCTCTTTCTGTTCTACTTTGTGTTGTTTTTTCATAACTAGGGGGCTATTATGTGCTTCCATCCAACACATTACATGCAGCCATCCATGCAGAACACACAGAGAGATGTTTGTTGTGGAACCTCTTAGTTAGATGAGCCCATCAGGTTAATTGAGGTTTATCTTAAAATGTGCTTTTTTCAGTGTAATCATGGAGTTTTTATTTTTCACTTTAATTATCTTTTGAGATTTTTGCTAAATCAGTTTATACCAGATATTAAAAAAAAAAACAGCGGAACAGTTTCTGCTTTCAGCATCATAAACTAAAACAATTACACAACAACAATGTTTGGAATAAAACAAAATATTAAGAAACATCAACTGTTGAGCTGAGATGTTCACATGACATTTGCTCACACAAATGCGTTTCTTAGGCTCCTAGTTGTAACTCTGTAAAGATTTTGAAAATCCAACATCCCAATGATAATAATACCAACCAATAAGATAAATTAACCACACAAATATTAATAATTAAGTTACTGTAGCCGGTGGTCATCATTATTAATTCAGTGGCTATTAGGTACTGAATCTGATTAAAGCCTTTACAGCAGAAATGTCAGCATCTATGCTAATTAGCACCTTTACATAAATTGATTAGCATGTTTTTGTCTCTTCGGAAATCTTGAATCTGGCTGTAAGTGAATACCACAGTCAATTATTAAGCAGTGCTCCCTTTGTGGGAAAGCTACTTGTCAGTAATACCAAAAATTAGATTCTTCAGAAAACGTCTGTGAGGTCAACATTTTTCTATGATACATGGTGCTACACAGTTTTAAAAAGTATGAAGCATGTTTTTGTAATTTTCAGGTCAGAATATGTATGGAAAAAATTACCATTTTACTCTTTACGTTGATTTTTTCTTTTATTTATTTATTTATCTTTTAAATCGCGATTGATTTCAACATTTGACCTGTTAAATCGTTAGTTAAACGTACTCCAAACCTTTTTGACTGCTTTCATGGGGTCTAGATACTGAAATCTTGCCTCAAAAACTGACAAAATATATAAAAATCTGAGTTTGGCAAAAGTATAAAGTTTGGAACTGAAAGATAAGAACCCTGTAGTGTGTAATTGTTTATAACAGCTCTGGTTTTGAAACTTAATATTAGACTTTTTTCCCATGGCAGAAAGGAAATTTCTTACTAAAATACAGTAAGAAACATAAGACTCCCTTCCTACTTTAACATGTTTATTGAACATTGAATTGTTGTGTTATTTTCCTGTAGAACATGGCTGCTAATATGGGGTCCATGCGTATCCTCATCAAGGGAGGGAAGGTGGTCAATGATGACTTCACACAGGAAGCTGATGTTTACATCGAGAACGGCATCATACAACAGGTAACCTCACAAACCTTTGCATATAAGCTACCTTCAGTCATAAGAACCTTAACTTTCCACATTTCATTAATATCACGTTAAACAGTGTATATTGTTTCCCTTTCTGCTTGAATGTCCAACTTTAGCCCATTTATTCACTGAAGGGTGTCATTCCAGCTGTTGTCATGAGTCCCGTCTCATAACACTCTGTTGTAAAAAGTCTTTTACCAAACAGTGAAATCCGTAAGAACTAAACTTAGCTCTCTCTAATGGTGTCATGGAGATAGTTACTGCTTTATTTGAAGAAGATAGACAGGAGTCGGTAACCATTTTACTGAACCTGCATTTATCCCATTTAAAATGACATTTTATTTTCTTAAATATGAATGCACCAACACTATTTGAAAGCATATTTTTCTGGGGATTAGTCTTTAACAAAAAATGGCATGACGATTAACTCAAAGGTTAAGATTCACATTCTTAAGAAATATCAAAATATTATTTCAAATCAATAAAGTCAATAATAGAATATAAAATAGAAAATCCCTTTATTGAGTTTATTTATTAAGTATCGTTTGCTTCAAAATTAAACTGGACAGCTCCCATCAGCCTTTGTTTGGAACAATATGTGAAACAGATCATTGAGGGTTAATTAAATGTCTGCATTACAAGAACAAAAACATCTAAAAGATGTTTGTCTATGGTCTTTCATTTAATTATTTTTGCAATCATGTGTCATAGTGGTGATCTATAAACTGTGTTGGTGTTGTGCACTAGGTTGGAAAGGAGTTGATGATACCAGGTGGGGCTAAGGTGATAGATGCTTCTGGGAAACTGGTGTTACCAGGTGGAATCGACACCTGTGTGCACTTGCAGCAAACTTTTATGAACGCCAGCATTCAAGACGACTTCTACAGTGGGACCAAGGTACACACTCATTGTTGCAAACACATACCCATCTAATTTAACTGTGACAATAGTGATCAGCCTGACTTTGATTAAACTCCAATGGTGCAGCTGTCATCTATTCTATGGACATACTCTCACTCTTGTTTGATTTTTAGTTAATTTCTTCTTACGAAAGGTTTTCATCCCCAGATGTGTTCTGCTTTTCTTTTTTTTCTTTTTTTTTTCCCCGCCTAAATTCTTATTTCCGATCACAAAACAAAGATTAGTTTAAAACAAAACTGGCTTAACTGAGACAAATGAGGCCTGCAATGCTTTAGATATGTTTTCAGTTGTTTTCTAAACCTCCTGCATGAGATGTCTGTGCGCTTCCGGAGTAAATTGAGTGTCGGGCTACATCAGTGGATTTGTTTCTGTACAAATGTCTGCTGTATGAAAAAAAACAAGACAGTTGGAAAAACCTTTTTGATTGCATATTATCAATACAGCCTAAAGACTAAAACCTAAGTTAAACTGGAACAGATGTTTCCTTGTCAAGCAATAGTTTCTCCTTTTTTACTGTTTTTGTAGATAATTTATTATTATTAATTCTTATGTTCTTTTCTTTAGTTCCATGAGACTCCAAGGGGAGATAATGATTTAATTATTAGAGGACTGAAATTCAGAGGAGGGATTGTAATTGTTGCCTAGGGTTGTATCCATATTTTGGGGTTTTTTTTCTTCTTGTATTCATTTTTCTTGCATTAATTTATCAGCGAAGTTAGCATGTTATTTTAACCTTTTGTTTCTCAAGATCTAAGAATATACATATTTCAATTACATATAATTATGTCCTATTAATAGAGTTCTATGTAATGTTAATATTATTTTTTTAAGCTTGAAATATATCCTTTAAAAGCTGAACAAATTATGTTTGAGGGCAGAGTAAAAAGAAAATTTTTATTTGTCTATATTAGAATCTTCCACACATTAGTCAAATTAGATTACACGTTGTATTTTTGCAGCCATTTTTTTCACTTTGCTGTAGTTCAGTGAGATTAAGTTAATGCTAACTGAAGTGTGTTGAGTGGATTTTGAGGGAAACTGACTTGCGCTTATGCCAGCATCGCCCCCATCCCTGCGGCAACCATTCCTACTACCGTGGTTACCATAGCAACTAACCCCTGCTTCTTGTGTGGAAATTTCTGCCTGTTTGGGAGTGAGTGCACACATGACCAAAGTGGCATTGTTTTTTTCCCCCCAAGTAGAGAATTGGTCTCCATAGCAACCAAATCCTGACAACCAAAAACTATTTCTTTCTGCATCCCCTACCCCTCCCCCCCACTGCTTTGTAACAGTTTGACCCTTCCTCTTCTGGGCTTCCTTGCTCCTCCCCAGCATCCCCACTGTTCCTGTGCCTCCCCCCTTCTGTGGATTCACGCTGACCTGCTGTGGGAGGACACTTTAATACTAGTTTTCAATGCTGTAGGGTTTAAAAGCAGCATGTGAGACGTGGGCTCAAACGATCTTTGAGGGCTTCAATGGTTAGGGTCATTTCTAATATAAGCTTCTAATTAATTTTAATTTTTCCTGACTGTTAAATGTTCTTTGTTACACTCAAAGTTTTTTCTTGGGCAGATATACACCTGCACGTCACACAAAATGAATAGACATTGAGGCCTTATCCACAGACATCTGAGAACCTGTTTTCCATACACTAGGAAATGTATGGATAGGAGTGAAGCTGGCTCACTTTCAAGGTTATTTATTTAGCATCCATCTTGTTGTGAATACTGCTTGTATCATGTTTTGCAAGGCTGTGTGTGAAACCCCCCCAGCTCTATGTATGAGGCTTAAATTAGTTTAACTAGAGCTGTAAAGCTGAGATGTTAACTCATCTTTGTCTAGTGTGCACTATGGGACCTTTATATAACTGAAGTTGCACTGTTGTTATATTTTTTCTATTAATATTTACTCAGTTCCATTTCCTTTTTTTTTTTTTTTTATTTCACCCTANCAAACATTTATTTTTCATATTGCACCAGTACAGTTAACGAGCAACCTGTACTTGTGTGCTTGTTTGTTCTGTCTAAAATGTTTATTTTGGAATAAAGAGGTTAATATAAAAAATATTTTTTGTCCGATTCATCGAAAAAATAATCGTCCGATTCATCGATTTTTAAAATAATCGTTAGTTGCAGCCCTAAACTCATCTTTGTCTAGTGTGCACTATGGGACCTTTATATAACTGAAGTTGCACTGTTGTTATATTTTTTCTATTAATATTTACTCAGTTCCTTTTTTTATTTTTTTTATTTCACCCTACAGTAGTTATAGCTCTACTTTTTCCTTACCATCCTGTCCATTTTCTATGTGTTGCTGCACACTTGTGGTCTGTTTGCTGAGGAAATACTACGGCGCATTTCATTCATTAACAAGACAAAAAAATCTGTGTGGTAATACCATCAGATTAAACAGCCATGGTGTTGAAGCTGAAGGAAAGTAGATTATCTCTTGCTTTTAAAACTATAGACTGTGAATTTCAAATGGCTTCTTAGCTGACTGCAGTGTCTATTAGAGCAGATAGCTTAAAAAAACAACATATATCAGACTACTATCAGCTAAACATCTTTAAAAAACAGTATGACAAAAATCTATCTGTGTATCGTATTATTTTAGCAGCAATATCAATAGTTGTTGCTTTTCTACTTTAAATGCCTTTAATTAGTTAAATGCATATACTTATGCTTTATATGATATTTGGTATTTTGATTTAAGAGTATCAGGATATAAAAACCTTACATTGACCACTGCTTTTACAGATTTATGAGGCATTTTTGGTCTTTTCTTTTTTTTTTTATAATACCTGTCCTACTATTTATCATATTTTGTAATATCAAGTTGCATAAAGGTAAGGTTGTGGTGTTTTTCATGGTGAACCCTAATTAGTACATAGAGCAATAGAGCTCAAAAAGCATCAGCTGAAGAGAAATACAAACATATTTAGGTTTTGACTTATAGTTTAGCATCTGCCTAGTCAAAAGGTTAGAGATACAATCATTGAGATCATAGTTAAGTTTGATCTGCTGTCACTGTACCGTAAGTCTGTGCCACACTATCCATCTAACTACCTGAAACAGAATGTTTTCCTGACATTTCGGAACAGTATCCATCTCTGTTACAGCAGAGATCATTTAAATTTAGCTGCAGGTTGAGGGGATGAAAGGAGGAGGTGAAGGATGAAGGGAAGGGTTTCACCTGTAATGTTGGGTATGAATGCTGCTGATAGAGGATGATCAGAAGGCTGCTTTGGGAGCAACGTGTCTGAGACTGATAGCTGCTCCCAGAGTCCAACACACAGTCTTTTATCCTCTATTATCACAAATTTCTCTCCCACAGCCTGAAGCCTCCAACCTTTTCTTTGGAAAAAAATTAAAAAAAAATTTAATTTATGTTTCTTTTCATCAGTATAGTCGTAAAAATAATACTGTTGCTTATTGTTTATTATTCTACCCTCATTCGTCTCAGAATTGACATGCTTTCATCACCATCACTGTTGTATCGCTACCAAAAGCCAATATTATGCTTAGATATTTATTGTAACCTGATTATATCATTATATCATAATTATATCATAATGGCAAAATTTATTTAATGTGACATGTTCAGAAATTCTCTATCAAACAGTTTGTTGTTTCTTTTTTTTTTTTGTGTGTGTGTGTAGCACATTATTTCATGTTGGAGTTCATCCACCCATTCATCCTTCCATTTTCTGTCACGCTTATCCGAAGCCGGGTCGTGAGGACTGCTGTTGCCTATCTCCAGTCTTCTGGCGAGAGGCGGGGTACATCCTGGACAGGTCACCAGTCCATCGCAGATGTTAAAGATCAATAATGTTCAATATCTTGACCAAATTGTTTTAGGTAGTACAATGATTTGTTTAAAGAACTTGGGTTATAAATCTGCCCTGCGTTGGACTGGTGACCTGTTCAGGGCGTACCCCGCCTCTTGCCCATAGATAGCTGGAGATAGGCACCAGCACCCCATGCGACCCCACTTGGGATAAGCGTGTAAGAAAATGGATGGATGGATGGGTTATAAATCTTACTCTCTTTTTTTTTTTATTGGCTGTTTAATGCAAAATACAAATCCCAACAATACGAAATACACCTAATAGAAAGTTCTGTAATTTCACTGAGCTGTGGTCCAGAGTCCCATGGCATTCTGGGGGATGTAGGCAGAGGAAAGGATTTAGCCTCAAGTTTGGTGGAAGGGTTGACCTCCTTTTTCCCTGATAATTTTATTTCAAATAGGTAAAACAAAAAAGTACTTAACATTTATTGATTTTGACTGATATTAAAAGTGCATTTCATGGTAATGTTTTCGGCCATAACGCACAGTCCTAATAGGATTAAAGTAGAAAAAAGAAGATTGATTAAAAGTTATTTCTTTGCAAAAAACAATCATAAACAAAAAGGCTTTTACTGATGTCAGTGTTGCTTCTCGGTGCTGCAGATTTGCTATTTATAGCAGGCCAAATTTGGATTTATCTTTGATAACAGGTTTTCAGTACGTTCCAATTTGACATCTCTCAGACGGTTCCTTTTATGCATGAAAAAAAAGCAGTCCAACATTTTTGGTGTAGTTATACAGTGATGAACTTGCACAGTTCAAATTCGAAAGGTACTTTTTTTATGTGTGTTTTTATATTTTTCTGGTTTCTGTTTTTATTCCTCCTCCCAGTCAGTGTCTGAGTTTTTACAAAGCAAAAGACTGACAGTAATTTTTATTTAGGCTCTGCAGGCGGCCGCCCAAGTCCCTCAATCCCTGATCTTTCACACATCTGCATGCATCAACATTCACACACTCGCATGCATTAACTGACAGTGATGAATGACTTCACTCTGCATGCACCCATACGTTAACTTCTACCCTGCTGACGCTGCAGATCATCCTGACCGGTTTCTATGGTAACTGGAAGAAACCAGAGCACTCATTGGTCTGCAGATCAGTCACTCTGTAGGGGCTGGCCCCGCCTACATCTGATCCTGCCTCGATGATTCAGTGCTGACACACAGTGTTGGAATAAAATCAGGTTTTATTTAGGGCAGGTTAAGGTTATCTAAAAAAAAACATGATTTAATTTGTTTTTTTATTAAATTCTGTAGTTCTGAAGAACCACCAAGTAGATGTAGGAGAAAGGATCGTCATACTGTATATTAAAAAAATGTAGTTTCAACGCCGTCTGATTTATGTTTGAAGTATACATCATTTAGTTTGATCAGTTTTCTGTGTGATAACCTAACAGGCTTCATGAGAGGATATTGAATCTATTAAATGAAGAGAGGAAGAAAAGGGTGGGGACGTGCAGCAGGCATGATTGAGCAGTATCTGTTGTCATGGTTATACTAAAGTCAGACCCACTACCTTTTTCCATATCGACATTCTCTCTGTCTTTGCATTTGCCTTTTTTTTTTATTTTCTCTTTTTTTCTATATCTTATACCTTCATTCTGTAATCTGTATGCTTCTTCTCTAAAATTCCTCGGCTCCCTTCACATCTCTTTTTGTCTGAATACTTTTACAGTTGGCTTTTTGAAAACAAAATTAACAAGCTTTCTGGAAATGTACTTTAAAGTGGGTTAAACAATGAAACCAATGGTTATTTTGCTTTAGGTTTTAATAGACTTCTGTTTAACTCAATGTTTCCTTGTTGTGTATAGTCACTAAATAGAAGAACATTTGATGATGAAACACCAGCTCATAAGAAAGGTTTATTGTCTTAAAATGAACACTTTCTATGTTTTTCAATGAACTCATTGTTCTGGTTTAAATCACTGTTGTTGTGTTTTTATTCTGCCTTTCAATAGCCCATTCCTTTCTTTGTGTCATTCTCTCAACTAACCCACTGTCCCTCTCTCTCCATCTACCTAGGCAGCTCTGATGGGTGGCACCACCATGGTGATGGCTCTGGTCCTGCCTGAACAACACTGCTCCCTGCTGGACGCTTATGAGAAGTGTCGCGCTCTGGCAGACGCTAAAACATGCTGCGACTACACTCTGCATGTTGGGGTGACCTGGTGGGGACCGAAGGTAAGCCCAAAATTACAAGGACCCAGATGCACTGTAAAGGAACAACATGGAAACACATTATATTTATATTTGAGTAATACTTCATGCAGAATTTGGAGTAAAGCAGTGGGATGTTTTTTATTCATGGGGAAAATGCGTATTGACCTAGATTACACCTAACAGAAACTGGGTTAATACACATGCTCAGTGGGCACATTACTCAGATTGTATGAGCTAACCTGCCTCATGCAGCCTTTGGCTTCACTGTCTGCACTGGATCATCTGCTGGTCGTATGCAGCAGTCTCGCTTCATTAAACCCACTAAAGTGTACAATATCAAATTCACTTTAACCAAGAGGTTTTCACTAAAACTGCTCTGGAAATGTGTTTATACAGCTGGCTGTCCATTCATAAAATTATCGTTGATATTTTTGACTAAATATTAAAATGTCTTGTCATTTTTATGCCAACAAAATATTTCCTTCTGAGGGACCATGTTAAAGCTTTTATGCTGTTTGCTGATCATGAAACAGCATGAAAGCTAATTCATGCATTTTCTTCTTTACACTTTAAATCACTATTTACTTGAGTTGACTAGAAATCATTCTATCTCTGCTGAAGGCTGCATCCAGGTTGTTTCCGCCTTTTACAAAGAAGCTCCTATAATTGTTCTTTGATATAGTTCGATTTGTACTCCTGTGGATTTTTAAAATAATTTTAAAGTTATATACTTAAATATAAAGTGTCTCACATATCTAGCTGTCTAATTAGCATGTTTTCAAAACAAAAACAAGGCTTTGTTGGGCTACTGTATAAATCCTTGAACTCAACGCTATTCCTGACATTTTGAATTGAAAAAGCTTCCTGGATGGGAAGCGAAACGTCTTCAAACTTGGAAGCAAAGTCCAGTGGATTGTTTTTCATTTTCATTTTTTTTTTAATCTAGTTTCTTCAAAGTTACTTAGTCATTCATAAGATTAAAAATAGACCAACCCTTTCAGGATGTGGCCTAATGTGAGCTAAATCAATCAGACTTTACCTGGTTCACCCAGTATTGGGTGTTACATGATGTCTGGGCATTCGGATTTGAACTCAAGTTATTTTTGTAACCCAACAATATATTGTGGAAAGGCAAGATTATCTCTATGCTAAAGACAATTTCCCTGATCTTTTTCTGATATTTACTAATTCCAAAAAAGCACATCACACACACTGGTATTTTATACATCTACTGTATAGATCAAAGATTTAGCAAGTTTTTTTTTATTTTTTATTATGAACTTTAAAACAAACGTATTAAGAAGAACCCGGCCAAATGATTGGGGTTTACTAACATATTAGATATAAGGACTTAGAAAGAAACCCAAAATCTTTTCCTCTAGTTGGATGATATGTACAGAAAATGGGAAGATAAAAAAACTAACATTAGGTGTTAAATTTTTGGTTGAAATTGTGGCTAGCTATTTCTAGAAGGTCAAATGTCCATGTTGGTTAATTATCCCTGTGATAATCAGCAAGACTAATTTTATGTGATCTTATCCTGGCTGCTTTCAAAACTAATTTCATGCTCCATATAACAAACATGCAAGCATTTGCATGCACACAATCACATCTAAACACACTTGGACCATTTACCAACACAGCTTATCTTTCTCTCAATGGCCACATGCAGGCTGTCTCTTCTAATATAAATGTATGCGCTGTAAAGTTGGGTCTAGCCTCTAACACAAACACGCTGTTTAACCCTTTCCTTAAACAGGTACGCAACGAGATGGAGAGCTTAGTGAGGGAGCATGGAGTGAATTCCTTCCAGATGTTCATGGCCTATAAAGACATGATGATGCTGCGGGATTCAGAGCTTTATCAGACACTGCAGACCTGTAAGGACATCGGTGCCATTGCACGAGTGTGTGCGGAAAATGGAGAGCTTGTGGCAGAGGTGAAAAATACCTTCTTTTATTTCTCCTTATTCGTACCGTATTTGTCGATGGAACAATTACTGGTGGGCTGTTGGTCTTTGATATGGACAATTATTTAAAGTTCTATGACTAACTGTGTCTGTTCATTTTTAAGACAAAATGTTTGTAGAGTTGAACTTAAGGTTTGGTTTTGTCTCCTATCAGGGTGCTAAAGAGGCTCTGGATTTAGGTATCTCTGGACCAGAAGGAATAGAGATAAGTCGACCAGAGGAGGTAATCTTAGAGCAGATCTCATTTCTGTATGTCTTGCAGATGTTGCTTTATTTAAAGCGTTAAGACTAAAGATTTCTAGCTAATTCAAGTTGTGAGTAGATATATATAAATAGGAATTTATAACTTTTTCTTACTAATAGCTGGCAATGCACCGATTTGTTGAGTGGTTTAAGTTTAAAATGAACTGTAAAGGTAAACCTGAGCTACACATGGTACATAAGGATTCACTGTTTGCAACAATAACTTTGAAACCACACCTCTCAGGAAGGCCTACTGTATGCCAGGGTCCTGGAGAGGGAGATCCGGCTTTAGGAGAAGAAGTGTGGGTTTCATTCTGGCTGTGGAACAGTGGAACAGCTCTACACTCTCTGCTGGGTTTCCGAGGGCGCTTAGGAGTTTGCCCAACTTGTCCACATGTATTTTTTGGACCTGGAGAAGGCATTCAGCCATGTCCCTTATGATGTCCTGTGGGGGGCGCTTTAGGAGTATGGAGCCTGGGGCCCTTTACTAGGGGGCATCTGGTCACTGTACAAGTAGAGTTTGGTCCGCATTGAAGGCATTAAGTCGCACTTGTTCCGTTTCGACTCTGTCACCAGTCCTGTACATAACCTTACTGGACAGGATTTGTAGGCGGAGCCAAGGGCCAGAGGGGGTCTGGTTTGGGGACCAGCAGATCTCGTCCATGCCTTTTGGTGATATGGTTCTGCTGGCTCCTTCCTACCAAGGCCTACAGCATGCACTGAGGCAGTTCATAGCCGCGTGTGAAGTGGCCAGGATGAGAATTAGCTCTTCCAAGTCTGAGGCCATGGTTCTTGACCGTAAAAGGTGACTAGTCCCTTCAGGTTGGAGGAGAGTTCCTGCCTCAAGTGGAGGAGTTCAAGTATCTTGGGGTCCTGTTCACGAGTGAGGGGATTATGGGGGAGGACGGATCAATAGACGGATCAGTGCTGCTGCTGCTATAATGCAGATGCTGCACCAGTCTGTCGTGGTGAAGAGAGAGCTGAGTAAAAAGAGAAAGCTCTCGGTTTACCAGTGGGTCTACGCTCCTTCTTTCACCTATGGTCATGAAATCTGGAGCACGGCTGAAAGAACGAAATCTCGGATAAAAGCGGGCGAAATTAGCTATCTTAGCAGGGTGGGCGTGCTCTCCTTTGGAGAAGTCATTCTGGAGAGGCTCAGAGTAGAGCCGCTTTTTCTACACATCGAAATGAGTCAGCTTAGGTGACTCGGACATCTCTTTCGGATGCCCCCTGGACACTTCCCTTGGGAGGTGTTCCAGGCACATCCCACCTGGAGGAGGCCCAGGGTACGACCCAGGACATGCTGGAGGGACTATGTCTCTCAGCTGGCCTGGGAGGCCCTTGGGCTTTCCTCAGCAGAGCGGGAGGAGATGTCTGGGGAGGGGGAAATTTTGAAGCGGCAGTCTACAGGACAAGACAACACAATACAAGGAACTTTAACTTATATTAGTATATTTAATCACAGCAAATTAAACTTGGCCATAATTATGCTTTTCTTTCATTGTACTTGGTGATTAAAAACTGGATAGTAAATGTTTTAATTTTTTTCTCTTTCTTCTTGACTGCAGCTTGAGGCTGAAGCTACTCACAGAGCAATTACAATTGCAAACAGGGTAAATATATATATATTTGCTCTTTTTCTGTGCTTTTATCAAAGTTTCAGCCTGGAATTTGAGTTTAATACTTTAATTAAGCAATAAACATTTCAATAATTGAATGATTTTGTGATTTTTAGGCTCGCTGTCCCATCTACCTTGTGAACGTGTCCAGTATGCTTGCTGGAGACATGATTGCTGCTGCTAAGATGCAGGGTGGGTATTTGTCCAGTTAAAGTATTAACAGAAACCTGGTAGTAATCACAAATAAAAACCGTCATCTTGTTACATTGCTGTTTGTGTCCAGATAAGGTGGTCCATGCTGAGACCACTGTGGCTCATGCTGTGGTAAATGGGAACCAGTATTACCACCAGGACTGGGCCCATGCTGCTGCTCATGTCATCGTTCCTCCTCTACGCCTGGATCCAAACACACCTAGCTACCTCATGGGGCTGCTGGGAAAGTATGTCTTATGCTTCCATAAGTAATGATGTAAAGAAATCTTTATGCTGTATGACGGCTGAATGTTAGCGTGGGGTTCTGCTTCCAGTGACACTCTTAGCGTGGTGGCTTCAGAGCACCGTCCGTTCAGCACAAAGCAGAGAGCGTTGGGTAAAGAAGATTTCTCTAAGATCCCACATGGAGTGGCTGGAGTCCAGGACAGGATGAGTGTCATTTGGGAAAGAGGCGTGGTACGAACACAAGCGCACAAAGAGCTGTTTTTTGTTTGTTTGTTTTTTTGGCAGTATTTGACTCTAGATGTATCAACTCGATACTTATAAAAGTACAGTTTAAATACCATCACTGACTTACAAATTAAGCAAAATGTGTCACACTATCTGCAGGTTACAGGAAAAATGGATGAGAATCGATTTGTGGCTGTGACCAGCTCTAACGCAGCTAAAATCTACAACCTGTATCCACGCAAAGGACGTATCATCGCTGGAGCTGATGCCGACGTGGTGGTCTGGGACCCTGATGCCACAAGGTAAACTGTCTCCTTTATTTGACATAATGGGCGTTAACGTTTGGAATCCAACCGTACATTGCTTTCACCATGCAGGACGATCTCTGTGAGCACCCAGGTGCAGGGCGGAGACTTCAACCTATACGAGGGAATGCGCTGTCACGGCGTGCCTCTGGTCACAATCAGCAGAGGACGTTTGGTGTGTGAGAACGGCGTGTTTATGTGCGCCGAAGGATCCGGCAAGTTCTACCTGCAGCGCACTTTCCCTGACTACCTCTATAAGAAGATGGTCCAGAGAGAAAAGGTTTGCTCACTTCCTCTCTCCGCTTCTGTTCACTTTTTAAAGGGAATCATGGGGAATGGTCCTCTGTTGCTTTGCTGTGTCAGCTGGCAGTAAACTGATGCAAACACAGCCATCATGTTGAGTCTGACTCCACTGATCTGACAGCCTGTGGCGGGGATTTAGAGTCCATGCTCTCTTTGTGTGCTGACTTTGTTTTTATGCTGATGGTAGCTGCAAAACCTTGTTCTGTCCCAGATTCTGCTGGGATTCTACATGCTTTCATTGACAGTCATTTACATTTGAATCATGTCTATATTTCTAGCTTGTTAATGGTAGTATAATAAGAATAAGTATATGAAAACAACCATTATATATGTGTATTTGCTTCTTTTTAAAGACTAATTTCTTCTTTTTTCCCAATTGACACTATTGTGTATATAGTTTATGAGGTTTCTGCATCTAGAGATGTTTTAGGGAACAACTTAACATCCTTACACTATCTCTCCTAAAACCTAAACTATTCTACTTAAGAGCTACATAAGAGATGAACTTAAATTTAGAACAATAACTATGTGGTCAATTAAACAAGTCTTGAGCATTTTCAGATATTAAGCTACAACCAAATAAAAATCAGAAAACTATAAACATTTAACTAAAGAGTACATTAGGTGTCATGGATAAAGTAGTAGAGAAATCATAGGCAGAAATAAATTCTTACGTAATACTTCTGCACACAGAACGATTACTTATCAGGGCTTTGTGAATTCTGCCTTTATAGAAAGTGGCAAAACCAAAGCCATTTTTGAAACAAGGTATATTTGCCACAGCTATGAACTGGACACTGCAGAAATGTTAAAGAATGTGTTCTGGTCAGATAAAAACTACATGAAAGTATCAAGAGCAAAATACAGTTTTTGAAGGAACTTCAAAAAGTTAAATCTAGAGGACCTTGAGGTATTTATCAGGGATGCACGATATTGGGATTTTGGCC